GGGAGGGAGGGAGGAAGGAAGGAAGGAAGGAAGGAAGGAAGGAAGGAAGAAAAGAAACTTAGATGAATAGGAATATGGAAAGATGGGTAGATGAATAGAGAGATGGATGGACGGACGAATGGATGGATGGATGGACAGATGGATAGAAATATAGAATGATGAATAGATGAAAACATGGAAACATGAATGGATAGATCTGGTGTCACCCTGTCTTCACAGTGACTCTATAGAGTGACAATACTGTTTTCTAGATAAAGAAATTGAGGCTCAATAACTTCCCTAAAACCACCCGAAGGAGAGGAGGAAGCAAGGCCCAAACCCAGCTAGATCTCCAGGCTCTTGCATTCTAAGACAGCAGCCAGCTCACTCATCCAAACACCCACAGAGGTAGCCCCAAGGGGACTTTCTAAATAGTCAGGAACCTGCTGTATCTCCCTTCCTTCTCTCTGCCCCTCAGTGTTGGTGACATGACAACATGAGCTGCCCTGGATCTGGCACTGATACATGTGAGATCTGATAAACCCAAAAGAAAAAAAAAACATTTAAAAAAATCTGGCAGGCCCAATTCATACAGACCCTGGTGACCCCAGCTACATACTCACCAGAGAACAAGGGGCAGATCTTCTCCCAGCAGGTGATGCCCCCTTCTGAGGTGTACTGGCCTATGATGACCTCCAGGAAAAACACAGGCAGGCCACTCCCAAACAGGAAAATAAAATACGGTATGAGGAACGCACCTGTCAATGAGCAGAGGAGAGAAGGTGAGGCTGTGTCTGTCACAGTATGGCCGGTAAGGTGCTCACTCCCAAGCCCTCCCAACAAAAGATATCAGAGGAGTGAGGGGTGTGAGCACAGGGGCCATACTCAGACTGTGCTGAAGATTCTCTAGGCTTGCCTACCCACCCCACCCACTAATCTGTAAATCTACCAGGTTCTTCAAGCCATCAGGCTGGTGCCTATGCCTGCCACCTGTCTGCCTTTTCCCCAGTATCCTTCCCAATAGAGGTTGCTCGGTCTGCTAGACCCAGGTACAGCACTACCTCTTTTCTGGAGCTTTACCCATCTGCCACAGGCCAGCCTGGATTGGCAGCCAGGAAAGTTCAGAAGTAGGTTGGGTGGAAGGCAAGAGGTAGATATCTAGCTGGTGGTGGGTGCCAGGGGGAGGAAGACAGCAAAGTATCTGGAGAGGGTAGTCCTACCTGTTTTACACTAATGGCTTCAGCGGGTGAACAAACCATGTGAAATTGTGGGCACCTTGGGTCTAGGCTATCTGCTTTGTTCTGGGGAGCATCTAAGACACTCATCAGAGTTCCCAGGGGGTCTGATACCTACGAGAGGTCAAGAAACCAGGCACTAAGAGAGGGTTCTCCAAAAAATGGCTCTCTTCCCATGGCAACAGGTAGTATGCCTGCCTTTACAGTCATGTGACAGGTGGTTGCTAACCTACATTCTTCTCCTCTGGTCTCCCTCTGCACCAGTGAGAACTGTCTCTAAGCTGGTGCACCTAACCTGAACACTGGAGAAGGCTCTCTCAGAGACCTCAGCAGGAGGAGACATAACACAAAAAAATTCAAACCCAAACCCAACAACTCAACCCACTGCAGCTAGAACATCTTCACGGATCCCCCTTGTCCTCCCTTTCCCCTTTACATTAATGGCAAATAATACTGGTGTGCCATTTACAGAAAGAGACAGAACTAGCTTTGGGGAATACATAGGGTAAGGGTAAGAAGCAAATCTGGTATCAAAGATGGTACAAAGGGAAGGCCTGAAGGAGCTCAGAGAAGACAGGACACAGGAATGGAGATCACGAACGTCTGAGGTTGAGGGCACATGGGTCAGAGAGGGCAAACCAGAGGATCAGAGAGGGCGAGGGAGGGCCCTCCAGAAGGTAACATAGCCAGAGGCTAGCACACCACCTTGTTCTCAGGCATGCTGACCCTGTGTCTGAGGTACAGTTGGGCAGGGTATTCCTGGACTGGGAAAGGACAGACTAGGAATAGATCTCTCACACGCTGACCCCAGCCTTCAATTTGACCCAGACTCACCTCCACCATTTTTGTAGCAGAGGTACGGGAAACGCCAGACGTTGCCCAAACCCACAAAGCCTCCGGCCACAGACAGCACAAAGTCGATCTTGCTGGACCACTTCTCCCTCTGAGGGGGCTTCCCGTCAGCCTCATCCTCAGGCCGTGTGCCTGGACTCTTCCCTGGAGAAGGCTTCAGGATGTCTTTGTGGAAGTCTTTCAGACATTGCAGCTTCTCCTTGGTGGCCATCTCCTCGTTTTCTGTTGGAGGCAGAACAACACGGATGATGAGGCCTATTCCAATGACTTAAGACCAGTTCCAACCTCCCCACGCTTCAGCGGGAGCTTGCCACTCCATCAGTCCCCATCAGAGAAGCCATCTAGATCCTAAGGATCTCAAAATTCAGGCCCCAAACACTTTCAACCTATAGAAGCCACAGGCTTCGTTTCTCAGGCACCAGCTAAACCGGAAGCACTGGCGGCCCAGGATTGTTCACCCCAAACATCACATTTCATTCAGCCCGTGTCCCCTGGACAGTTCCAGACATCTTCCAAAGGAGAGAGAGAGAGCCTGTCTACAGCTCTCCACACTGACAGATAACTTTTCTAATTTGAAGTCTGCACAAAAAAAAACCAGCAACTCGCATCCCAGTTACGTCTCAGTGCAGAGCCTAGTGTAGAGCCTGACCTACAAGAGGCACCTGCTCCCAGGTTAAGAAGTGAATCAGGAAGATAATGTTGCACAGGACACAACACAGAGAAAACAGGCTTTGCCATTACAGTATAGAAAATGGACAGTTACTTTAGCAGGGGAAAAACAATAAGGCTTTCTTATACAGAATTATACAAGGATGCTTGTGGCAGCTGAGGGTATGATGCAGGGGACAAGCAAGTGTGAAACCTGCAAGGAAAGCCTAGGTCTCATCCCCAGACTGTGAACCAGGGCCTGCTACTTAGTATCCATTCTTCAGTTCCACTGACTCCAGGCTAAACACAGGGATCCTAACAAGCAGGGAGGGGTCTTGCTCTCTGGCGCCAGCTAGTCTCAGACTTAAGGAGGCCTCAGCTCCTGTCACAATTCAAGGTCACCCTCAGACACCTCTTGCTTGGACCCCACCAGGGTGGAGGGTTGTACCAGCTGATACTTATCACCTTCTCCTAGCATCTCCTTGTGTCTCTGAAGTTTAGCTGAGAGGCAGCGTCACATCCAGTGGTGGTCACCATCCATCCATGGCATCAAAGAACACATAAAGGTAACCAAGCACATGAGAGCCCCGTGTCAAGTCAGGGCCCTGTGTGCACGGATTTACACATAGCAGAGCACAGGGCTGCAGGATAAGGCTGGGCTGGGGGCACCCAGAGCTAGTGGCCCTTCCTGCTCTTTTCTGAGCCTCGGCTTCCCTATCTGCAGAATCAAAAGAGTGACAGCGAAGGTAGCCACACAGCCTAGGGCATTCTTCATTTGTTTTCTATCATCCAAGCAAGAAGCTGACACTGAAGTATCAGATTTCAGAGGAAAAATGGAAAATTTGAAGTTCTCTTACAAAACTGGAAGGTCAGAGACACGGGATCTGTATTCTTCATCTGAGCACCCACTGGAGTGCATGCAGGGCCTGCTGTTCCCAGCGTATCCCTTCTGGGAGGGTACCTTCACCTGCTTGGCCGCATTTGTCTTCCCACAGCCAACCCTACCTGAACAGCAACTGAGCTGGCCATATACACACTTCCTAGCTGCTGCGTTCTCCACAGCCAGACCATAGGCTTGTGGAGATAAGGATCTGTCCTATTTATACCGCTGAAGCCCAGCACACAGTAGGACATCAGGAAAATGCTGCTGTGCCAAAAGAACCTCAGCTCCAAGGGGGATATGGTGGCGCTAAGGCTCAGCATGTCTGATAGAGATATTAGGTACACAGAAATGACATGCCAGGTCCCCGGGGGGCTCTGCAAGGAGCAGAGGCCCAGAAGCTCAATAACTCCACTTCCCCCACGCCTCCTTCCTCTCACTGGCTGGCTTGGGGTGGGGGACCCCAATTGTTTCACTATCTGGCAGTGAGCAGACCAAGAAAGGCTTCCTGGAGCCACTGGGCAGACCCCGGAGTCCTTCCTCTGTCTGGGGGAGCATCCGCATGGCCTTTCTCTGTGGCTCCCCCGGGGCCTCGTGGCTCTGCAGGTCTGTGGCCACTGTGAAAACAGCTTGAGCAGCCAGCATTGTTCCTGCAGCAGGTCAGCAGCCCCCGATGGTTATCTGAACAGCTCATTGTGGCCTGTGGTGGGCGCATAATTGGAGGATGTGGGACTCCGCTCCCTCCCAGGGAAGGGTCTGCTCAAGAATGACCTGGAGCCTCCAACTGAGAAGGGCTGATCCACCCTTTGGACACGTCTCAGTCCTCAAGCCTTCACAAGGTCAGCCTAGCCTTTAAACTTAAGAGAGGAGGGGGAGAAAGAAGAGGAGGTTTAGGAGGAAGAGAAGAGAAGGAGGAAGAGGAGGAGGAGGAAGAGGAGGAAGAGGAGGAGGAGGAGGAGGAGGCAGCCTCCAGCACTAGGGAGATATGGGAGTGGGACAAGGGTCTTTTTACCTCACTGTCAGCTACTAGCCAAGGCTGGTCCTATAAGAAGCCAGATTCTGATGCCCTGTGGCCTGCTGTCCTGACAGCCCTGGTTCTATATTCTGGGCCCCCAGACCTACTAACAAGTCTGTTCTCAGAGAACCCTGAGTATAGAGGATTCCCATAGACCCCTGTGTCTAGACAGATTTGCTACCTAAGGAATCTATCCCTGGATACTCTCGGGATTCCATCTATCTTCATGTCACCTGAGACTGAACCATAGTGGCTGGGACCTGAGAGAAGCAGTACAGTGCCTGTCCTGTGGCTGGCACAGTGAGGTCTCCATGGAGACGCCTTGGTCACTCAGGTGCTTCCAGGAGTCTGATCCTTCTTCACTATCCTACCCGTGGGAGTGTGATCCAAACCCACTTGCCTGTGGAGAACTCATGGCCCAGTGGTCCTGCCTCAGCGTCACCTCCAACCCTCAGGCTGGCTGGAAATCACAGGGCTACTGTATTGGGGACAGGGCACCACCCAGGCTTTGGCCTTCCCTGGGTCCAGAGAAGGTCCTGTAGAGACGCAGACATCCTGTCCTCTTTCCCCTGGCATTCTTATTCTAAGACCCTCTCGTGTGCCTGACCAGAGGCCCTGGAATATACCATTCCAGCAGCAAGACCTGCAGATCCACTCTCCACATTCTTGGCATCCACCCCCATGTCCCTGTCACCATGGCAACCTCTCTCTCAGCCAGCAGCCCCTAGCACAGGCATCTACAGCTGCCTCCTCATAGGTCTCCTTGCTGCTCTGCTGCCCCCCAGCCTATTCTCATGCGGCAGCTGAAGGCAGCTTAAAAATCACATTCATAATAGACCCCAGCTCTCTGCTCACTGCTAGAGGGAAACGCAAGGCCCACCCCAGCCCTTGGCCCCGATAGGTCTCAAGCAAGACCCTTACAAATCCTTAAACCCAACCCCACCCCTTGTGGAACACTGGCCCCACAGGAATGCTGTCATGCCCTATGCTGGCTGCTCCAGGATCTGTGGTAGCAGCTTGGTCCCTATAGGGAACATGAGACTTGACAGAGGGGCTGAGAGCCACTTACAAGGGCTGAATGACCTTAGGCAAGATATTCAGCCTCTCTGGTCTTCAATGTTCTCATCTGTGGAGCAGTAGTGTCTGTCATGGGGTACAGAAAAGAAATGAGGGGGTGCACAGAATAGCTCAGAACAGCAAATGGCATGTAGCAAGCACGCCCTAAAATAATAGCTGGTATCATTATTACCAACCCCATGGTGGACAAGGCCTTCAAGCCACTCAGGGAGATATGAGCCAGGCTCAGCCAACTCTGAATCCAGGTCACTGGAATGAGCTGGTATCACACAGACCAAGGCTTTCTCTGCTTCTGCCAGCCCTCTGCTGGCCCAGCCTGACTTCCTGAGATACCCTCCCTCGGGTCTACCTTTACAGACTCACACTTAGGCCAGTCCACCCCCATGGTGATCAAGTGGTCACAGCATAGCGCAGTGAGTCCCTTTCACACCATCTGCCTGCAGCCTGCTTCTCCAAGCCTGGAGCTGTTTCTCTTGGCTCGGGGCCCGGGGTTGTTCCGCAGTGGTGAAGATGCCTAATTCTCATTCTGGGAGATTCCTCGTGGTTACCACAGCTACAGGTGATTAGAATGCATGGAGTTATAAGCTCCAGGTCTATGTGTCCCTCCCCATACTGAAAACACTGTCCCTTTTCCAGGAGTGGCAAGCCAGATGTGGCTGTGCCTGGATGCTAGCTTGCTTGAAGATTGCTGACAAGTTTTGACACATACATAGTCAGGTTGACCCCAGGCCCAGTGGCATTGGCCAGATGCACTTTTATACCCTCTGGCCAGGTTAAAAATGTCAGACACTTTTAGTACGCAGACTAACCTATTTCAGAACAGTTTCCCATTCTGTCATTCTTTGGAGGACAGAAAGGGAGGTGTGCAGAAGGGGGAAGACAGGGTCTCATGTGTCCCAGGTTGGCTTTGAACTCACTAGTAGCAGAGATGACCTTGAATATCTGATCCTCCTTCCTGCCTCCACCTTTCCCTTAGCCGTGCTGGAACTGCAGGCGAGCACCATCACACCAGTATTATGTAGTTCTGGGGTTTGAACCAAAGGCCTGGCACATGCCAGGCAATGCTCTACCACCAAGCTGTTCCACAGCTCACAGAGACTTCTAACGTGTTCCTATACAACAGAAGCAGATGGGTGAGCAGAGAAATGGTAGCCTGCCCCAGGCCACACATAGGGGCCAGGGCAGATGGAGCCAGAATCCTCATCTTGCTTCATGTCTACAGCAGAGTATAGATCAGAAGAGTCCATGGAACAAACAGGGATGCTGGGTCAGAGAAGCAGCCTGTCTGATACAGAGCTCACAGACCAGGGACTCAGACACAGCTCCTGCCCCTGTGGCCCTCAGACATCCATGTACCAGCCAAGCAGGTCTTGAAGTCGATTTAAGCTGTCTCCCCAGCATTTGCCTCTATACTCTAAGACAAGGGGGCACCAAGTCCCAGCCCTCAGTGTTAGCACTCCTCTGCAGAACCTTGATCATCTCAAGCAAAAGACCCCCCCAATAGAAATGATTAAAATCTTATTGCTGGCACTTTCATCATTCAGTATCTCTTATCAAGGAGTCAGGCACGGGTCTGTTTCCTCTTGTGCTTGTCCCCAGCCC